GATACTATGGAAGTACAAAATTGAGTACCCCAATGCTGAGTGATAGCTTAATGCCAATACTGAGCACGTCCTCACATATTGTTGAGTATTTAATGAAGACTCCAAAACTGACACAGAGTCAGCATCTGGGGTATATGTATGTATATCGAAGGCAACGGCGACAATCTTCACTTTACTCTTGGGCAATATGCCTCGATTTTATTGGTAGACCACGAGAGGACGCAGGTTGGCCACCACTTATGTTGACCTCACTATCAGAGTTTAAGTAGGTATTTGCTTTCGTTGGGCAAACGGGACTGCAGACAACTTGTGGCATTGTTGATTGCTCACTTGTTGTAGCACAAACACCTGACTCATAAATGACGAGCCCATTTGCCCCGCCTTTATAAGGAAGACGTGCGGAGGCAACAATGAGTTGAGACACAAACACTTGAGTTTTTTATCTCTATCGATGTGATCACACATCGTTTCGTGTAACCAGTAGTTGCGACAATAAAGTCCCATTATAGTTATAGTCTTCGAATTGAAGGTCCCCAGCCTTTGTTCTGTTTATATTCGCAGACGGCTTCAAAAAGCATTATATCTTTAAGTAGCAAGATATGCTTGATATTCCGCTGCTAGACGAGTGCCGCGCATTCTCCATATTTTACCATAAAGTGAAGCATTTATGTCCTCGTTGGTAACAGTTGTGAGTTCCAATTTAGTACTTTGTCCAAAGTTACCCCAAAACACATATTTCGCCAGGTTGGAACTCAATTTTAATCCCTCTCCGGGTGCAAAGGTCATGCAGCGCTTCACAGTCAGTTCGTGGATTATATGAGCCAAAATTTCATAGTACGTCGGGTTCAAACAAAAATAGAAAAATTGCCACTCCCTTTGAAAGCGGTAAAAACTTAACTCCAAAGTTAAAGCGGAACTTTCGTGACTGAAGCACGCTCTCTGTAAATTGTATATCGTTCTCACCAGACGAATGCTTGCTAACCTAAGCAGGGGGTTCAAGGTATGCGCAATAAAGAGAGCTTTTTTGCACTTTTTACTATATCTGAATAGGAGTGCATTAAAAGCTATAAACCCATTGAATTAAAGTTCCAACGAATTGTGATTCAGCCGATTTTTATCTTTTTACTTATACACTTATAGCACAAATCGATATGAAAATTCCACGAACGTAAATACTTAAAATGTAATTCTTAAATTCATACTTGGTTCACATATGTAACTACCAAGTACATATATATGTATCGGTTTTCTTTGTTTTTGCAAGGGTATTATAAAAGCACTTGTTATTGCTAAAACTTAGCCAATATTATAAATTTCGCAGATAAGTACTTGATATAAATCGAGTATAGTGTTAATCTATTATTTGTTTTTGCTTTGAAAATATATATGTATCATTTAAAAATTATTTAGCGCAACTTACAATTTGTTATCAAAGCAACCGAGTCTAAATACTTACTGAAAACGCTTTCAACTTAGCAAAATAATTTTATCAATATCTTATCACTACTTCGTACAGTTATAAAAATTGTTATAATCTTATCAATGCCAAATATTTTTTTTTTGTGATAAGAGTAGCGTTGAATGTGGTTAGTGTTTTATGAGCTAACTGTTATAACAGTTTAACTGGAGTAAACGTTATCTTGCCGGCGAAAAAATTGAAATATTCAATGCAGTTTGTTAGCCGTCAATTTGCCGTAAATGAAAGTGGGTATTCACAACTGCGCAGAAAAAGAGCTGGGTGCTAGCTCTTAAATTCCCACAAAGGCCGCTAAGTTGACCAGAATTTCGGTGTGGATTTTGTAGATCTTGATCTTTCTGAAACCAGTGTAAGGTTAGATTGATTTAGGTTAGTTTAGCCGATAACGCGCAAGCGCCGAAGTGTCCGAAAATCTCATGGCCCATACAATATTAACGGATCATTTGGACGCCAGCAGGCAGAAACCCTTCTGCATCCTTGGTTGACAGAATAGTAGAGAAAAAGCTGTAAGCGAAAACTGAGGTTTAAAGCGAGATCACTGGAGTGAATCCCGCAGCCTACTCTTTAGTTTATCATGGAACCATCCGTACATCTTTTTAGATAGCCGTCACCCTGAATATAAACCTGTCGCACATCTCTACTCGTTCCTCTCTGTGAGTTTTATGGAGAATTTTTTGTCTACCATTATCAACCTGCGAGAAGTTGATCGTAGAGATCCTCCAGTAGAAGATTCAAAATTAATTCCACAGATTTATTGGGTGTAGAGATTTAATTTTACCTGGTGAAGAATACTACCTCCAGCATATTTTAGTAGCCCACTCAGGACCTGTAAATATTCTCCAAACTAAAGTTAATCTTGTTCCGGGCCATTCCCTCACTGCAAATAGTTTTATGGGAAGCTTTTTCATGGCAGATATGTACTCGGAGGTTTGCCATTGTCTGCCGAGAAGCGACTGCTGTTATAAAAACGTTTTTTATTCGTACCAGAGATGGAACCTGTGTAGGTCCTAACAGGAACTATGCACTATTAAAAACTTGGCTACGACGGTGTCACTGATACCCAAGTTCTCGGGTCGTTATGGTATACTTTATTCAGACTTTACAGCTCCACGGAGCTACTCGCCACAAGTAAGTTACTTTCACGAGTACCAGTAAGCGACAATGCGATATCAGTGCGGTTTTGAATTGTCCAACTTCTCTTGTAGCAATATCTTTTCCATTGCGGGTCGGACGTACTTTCATTAGATTCTAGGGAGCCGACTTTTTCTGAGACACCCATGACTTTGTGCAAAGTATGTAGTGCAGACTCCTAGCGCATTGGCAATTTTCACTGCCGTTAATGAAGTTTCTTCCAGCGCTATTTCTCTAAGCGAGCAGCTTTTTAATATAAACTGTCTTATTCCACCTTCATGAAGTACACTTGATTGGTGAGCTACCAGCACGACGTTGGCTACATTGGACTTGATGAGTGACGTTATGGGGGGTGTTCTCTTGCAAAGTCCGCGGCACTTCTACAGTTCACCGAGCTAGCCTTTGCCTATCCGCTGAAATCTCAACAGACGGTGTTCGGTGAGTGTTGACCTTACTACTGGTAGATATCATGGCGCGTGGTATTTGCGTTCAAAGCCTTTCGCTCTGTTCAGTTTATTCTTGAGTATTAAATTCGACCGGTTCCACCTGCTGTGTGCCTTCGTTGCGGTCATTTTAAGCCATTGGAGAGCTCCATAGTGTCATAGCTCTAGGCGAAATTGTTTCTTCTGTCTTTTTTTTTTTTGAGAGATAGTAAATTTTCTGGGTATAGATATGCTGTAATCGGGTTCGGCTGAGTATCTCCGTTAGTCGCCAAGTATTCGAAGTCCTCTGTCCGCATAAAAACCACCAATTCGGCCGATCCTCGAGACAGGTTTTATGAAGGCTTCAACCTAAACCTTCTGGATATTTATACTTTCAATAGCTTTTTAGCAGTATCGGAGACTTATGGTGTTTGTTCTGGTTGCCCAGGGCAGTTATACTAATTCTAAGGTGGGGTTCATTGTGATACTTGATTTAATTGCAGTCGAACTTCTAGGTTCGTGGACGACCAGCGAATCTAAATTTCGTAATAAATTTTGATTCGTTGAAGCGCGAATAGCAGCTTGACTATCAAACAAAAGGCTTCAAAATCCGGATGCTGAATACATAGTTCTTTCTGAAAAAAAACTTTAACAAAATCAGCCAGTTAGGCAGATTTAGAAGACTTATTGGGAAACTCCCATTTCAATCACAAGTTTCATAGTGAGGCAAGTGATTCCCAGCAGACATATACAGTGCGTTACAGCTCACTGTTTTAATCAGCTATCGATGAAATTAGAATTGCGGACAGGCCTTAAAAACTTCCGTTCAGACTAATAAAATGGTGGATGGTAGAAAAGCTTTGGTATATCTTTGCATCAGCAAAGCCGCTTTCTGAGCTGAGTTGAGGGAGGGACTGTTTAGTGAATTGGTTATGATTATATCTAAGCTTAGATATGTATAAGCTCTTTGTGTGCACGAGGCCTTATAGTTTTCGAAAGCAGCCTATAGCAAGCTTACGAAAGACATGTTTGCTGGTACTTATTTCTTTACGATAGACAAAGTGATCGAAGACTTCGCGATTTCGACTAAAAACTATCCCGAAAAATTTACTAAACTTATTTAGCTCGCCCGTTTTCGAATGATATGCAAAAGGCTAACTAGCATCTCCATAAAAGCTCAACTCACGCATGTCATAAACGGACATCAAGTATCACTCGATTGTACGATGAACAACTTTAGGTTACAAAATGTACCAAGAGCTGCGAGTACTTTCTCGAAATATTTCTACATGTAAAAAACGGCTATGCTTGTAATTTCCCCTAAACAATTTGTTTTCTAAGTAAATTTATGCAGAGAAGTATACTCTCGGTCTTATTGTTGCTGTATAAGCACGCAGTTCCCGAATTGGTTTGTAGTCTTATTCATCTGACTGCTTCAACCTTAGGTCCAGGAAGCGCTAAAGGTGTGAGTTGGGTGGGGTATTTGAGGCATGCGAAAAAGTAGGCGGTGTTGTGCGGTCCGTTTCTGACGCAAGTATCTGCGATTTGCGGGCCTAACCTGGCTCTGTACGAGTTTAGGCGGCTGCACCAGCCGGAACTGAGTTAATCCAGGGTTGTTCTAGTCGCCATTCGCTCATATCGATGGGTGGCGGTTGTTCACCGAGGAATATAAGTATTTCCGCAGTGTTCGCTTTACAGTGATAGCTGCTTCGCATTAAAGCTTGTTGATCTGACGATGGTCCCTTCCACGCTCTCCAGATCGATCCGGATACCACGCCAAGAGCCATCATACCAGTATACATCCTCGAATATAACTACTATCCTATTTCTATCATATCGCTTTGCTTGGAGCGCGTCGAAACAAACCATTTACTGCCGAACGGAATTATTTAAGCAGGAATGCAATAACTAAAGGAAATTCTTCATTTCGAAACATGAGAGAATTGCAATTTTACTTTTATTTAATACTATTTACATACATACAACATTATTCAAAAAGATAAAAGGAAGATTCCTTAAAATTCCATAAGTGATTGCTGGTTTTTACTTCATTTCACAGAAATTATAGCGTTTCCATTGCCAATCCTTAGGCTTACAAATATAATACTGAAAAACATAACGGTAAAGACGTATGTATACATTTTTACACATAAATATAAAGCATTAAAAACTATCATAAACACAACTACATATCGTTCACATTTTTTGCAACACTTTAGTAACGAACTATTTTAACCAATTTCAATGTAAAAATATCTATGCCTAGACATTTCACGTTTGACTTTACGCAGCACTCTGCTACTTCCTAATTCTCGTACTTTGGTGTGCATTTCCCTTTAATATTTTAATTTCTTTCCCACATCCGACGCGTATTCTCCATAAAATCGCTCCACATGCGCTGCATTAGATTGGGTTGCTGCGGATCCACCGGCGGCCAAGGCACCATTTGGGGTAATGCCCAAGGAGCTTGATTAAAGGGTGCCAAGGGTAATGGACCGAATTGCGGTGCGGTTGCCGGTGGTAGTGGCTGCGGTAGTGGCGGCCATTCCGGACCCAGCTGCGCATTTTGCTGTTCCACATTGAAAGGGGGTGCCTGCGGTGGTTGATCCTGCAAGAGTAAATAATTTGAAAATAAATGTCCCTAATTACAAAGCGCACTGCGCAAATCAGCTATGTACAAACCAAGCATTATGTGTACCCACCTGTTCGATGTCGACTGCAAAGCGGCCCTCATTAACTGCCTTTTGTATGGCATCACGCAACTCTGCTACCTCTTGCAAATTCTTTTGGTTGATGTGCACAATGCCATCGATGGGTGCGAGTGGACGGCTTTTATCCGTAAGCCATGTGGGTTGTACTATCTGAAATAACCAAAAAAGTAAGCAAAAAGTAAAAGCACTCATAAGGGTAGGCTTCCCTCGAAAAGTAAATTTTTTTACCCACCTGACGCTGCGCTCTCTGCATGTCGTACGGCAAATGTACGTGAACCGCTATTGCAGCCTCATTCGGTACTGGACGGGACTGAAGAAATATGCAAAGAAAAATTATATATTGTTTTAAAAATTAAAAAATGTACATATGGATATAGAAAAAGGTTTAATATGTACTTACACTAATTAAATTAGCGGAATACAAAATGGAAATTAGAAAAATATATAAATATTCTGACTGCTGCATTTTGATTTCGGCTATTTTGGATAGTAACTTCAACTGCAATGAAAATGCACATTTTAATTTACAGTTGCTTAATGAATCAGGGGTTGCCACATACAACTAAAAAATTATTAAATTAAAACTTCAATAAAATAAAATTAAATAAAATAAAGTAAAATAAAATCAAAAAATTAAGTGAAACTTAAAAATCAAGAAATAAAATTAGACTAAAATTAAATAATAAAAATTTAAAAATTGAAAAGAAAGTATAACCAAGCAACAAATAAAAAAAACATAAAACAAAAATATAAAATAAATAAAAATAAAATCAAATCCAAAAAATTTAAGATGTGGAGATCTCCGAAATAGCAGCTATAACTTCTACCGCTTAGACTTTGTTGCTTTTTCAATCGTGGTAAAAAGCTCAATAAAAATATTAAAAATAAAATGTTAATAAGCCACAATAACATTGACAAAAATAAAATAAACCAAATAAAAATAAAGTAAAAAAATAAATAAAATAAAAATAAAAATGAAAAATAGAATAAAATAAAAATAATATAAAATAAAATAAAATAAAATAAAATAAAATAAAATAAAATAAAATAAAATAAAATAAAATAAAATAAAATAAAATAAAATAAAATAAAATAAAATAAAATAAAATAAAATAAAATAAAATAAAATAAAATGATGTTAAACTAAGCAAATATAAGTCAATAACTAATAAAAAAAAATTAAATTAAATTAAAACATAAATAAGATAAAGAAAAACTAAAATAAGATACATTTAAAAAAAAAAAACTAAAAACGTAAGATTCAATAAAATAAAATGAATTAAAATACATTAAATATAACAAAATAAAGTTTAAAAATATAAATGAGTAAATAATGTAAAAAATAAAGCAAGATAAAAATAAAAACGAAATAAATAAACTAAATTAAATTTACCAAAATATTTATAAACTAAATTAAAATAAGGTACAATGGGCCGTATGAATAAAAACTAAGCAATTGCTTTTTCTTAAAATTTCATACCTTTTACTTCAATTTTGTTTGAATAAATTGAGTAAAAGATCTGAAATTTTAAGAAAAAGCAATTGCTTATTTTTATTCATACGTCCCAATGAACAATAAGGTAATATGAAAATTAACTTAAATAAAAAAAATAAACCAAAATCATATAAATCACAGTTTTAAGCATTAAAAAAGTGTGCAATTGACAAAAACTGGCTTTGATTTTTTGAAATTTTATTGCTAACGCTCTCCTGCATTTTCATAATAAATTCATGTTTATATGCAAAAATTCGTCACCAAAAAAATTCTCAAAAATCAACGGGTTTTTAGCCTATTGAAACTTGCACTTCATGAGAGTAAAATTATATGGGATATAAAACTGCATACCCAAAAATGTTCTAAAGATTCAGATTAAAAAGTTGAAATTGTGAGGAAAATTTTTTAAATTTTCCTAAATTTTGTATAATGTCTAAAACTTGGATTTGTATGGGCTTGGTTAAAGTTTGGACGCCATTTTTATAAAAAAAAATATCATAATTCGAAAAACATTACAAATATTAAAAAAAAATCAACACGTGGTCATTTGTTTGAGTCACTGACGGACGAAGTCCAGAGGTTCATCAAGCAACCTCTGGACCCGTCAGCTTACCGATTGGCCCTGAACGGCGTTCACAGGGAGTCAGTCTCGAGTTATGTAGACTCTAGACCTGTGAATGCCGTTCTAGGCATACCGCCTCCGGACATAGACGAGACGGAGCTTCATCTGTCTCTGGAGACACGAACGACAATAGCCCAACTCCGCTCTGGCTACTGCAGCAGGTTACCCTCCTACCTGAGTAGATTGAATGAGGATGTGCCAAATGAGTGTCCGGCATGCGGAGAGACCCCACATGACTCGAAACATCTCTTCCCATGCCCGGAAAACCCGACAACCCTAACGGCTTTGTCCTTGTGGACCAACTCAATAGAAGCTGCACGCTTCCTAGGGCTGCCGTTAGTGGAACTTGACGACAACGACTGAGATACCAACCGATCTGGGCGAGGTTGTTGTAGCCGCTACAACAACAACATAAGTTAATAGTAAAAATTTTTGTTTAAAACCAGCTTTCCAATTATGGAACAAATTGGACATTAATACGGGTACTCCAAATATCTCGAATCCTGCGCCACCTACCGGCAAATTTTTTTGTGGAGTTATTCGTTTTCATTTAGGTAATATACACTTGTGGTCAGCTGAATAAGTCAAGTGACATTTTGACTAGTTTTGGCTATTTTTCTTTTGTTTATTTCATGTTTATATTTTTGTATAACAGTTTAGCACTTTACCCAACCAGCGCTAGGAATTTTATCCCTTACAAACGAAATTGTCGACCATACTTTATATATATTATTACTTTAAAAAAATTATTAAAAATCAATGCAAATTTTCTGGCGTCTTGAAATTTGTAATTTAACCTACTAAAATTTAATGAGCTACAAAACTACATACCCGAAATTTTCCTAAAAATTCTGAATAAAAAGTTTAAAATTTTTGGGTGCAAATGTTAAATTTTGTTTAATTTTCAAAATTTGTGTACGAAGTTTGAAATGTGGATTTAAGTGGCGCTGGTAAAGTGCTAAACTTTCATTAAAAAATATTAACATTAAATAAACAAAAAAAAAATAGCCAAAATTAGTCAAAATGTCACTTGACTTATACTTAAACCTCGCGCTACCTACATTATAAATTTTTTGTGGAATTATTTTTTTCCACGTAGGTAATATATGTACATACATTCCGAACATGCGCGGTCCTCTTGTTCTCCTTTATAGCTGCACCCGAATGATTTGCTTTTCGAATCGCAAAACAGAATAGGTCCCCTGTTCTCACACGGAGACAACTGATCATCTGGCAATAGGGTTGGAAAGTACTTGTAAATGACTAAAGGAAACGCGGGTTGCTCGGCTTTAACTGGGCTGCTTGGAAACACTGAAAAATCAAGCATTGAGAAGTATTTTCACAGTCTAAGCAACCAGTCCGAGAAACCATTGCCCCAACCTTACACTTCACCTTCGAGCGATAAATGTGAGCATGACCACAAACGCACTGTGGAATTCGGTTTCTTGCAATAAGTACTCAATATATTTGATAGTGGTGTACATGTCGAATCTTAGAACCTTACTAATTATTTTAGTTTTAGTATAGACTCCGTTTTCGAAGTTGTATAGTAGACAAGGATAATGTATGCATTATACACCCCACTTTACTTGAATAGGTAGGTACTTACGATTTTTCTATCAGCAAAAAATCAACTGCTTTTTAACCGACATAAAAAAGGAGGAGGTTATCAATTCATAGAAATATTTTTTTATGTATGTTACCGGATAGCTTTAAACCATGTGAAACGGTTTCGGTAATTCATGAAGTCGGCATTTTTTTGTTTAAAAATGACTAGTTACTTTTAATTTTTTAGCTTAAGACTTTATTACTCCTTTAAATAAAAATATGGAAACTTAACATTTGTAGGTTTCTTAAACGAATGTTTATAACCGTAATCATTACACATATAAACTTTTATGCACAAGATTGCATATTTGTGTGCAAGTTAACGTTGTTAAAATATAATTTTTTGGTGAGTTTACGCTTTTTACAATGCGCTATTTGAAATAAATTTGCCGCACTCTACAACTTTACGGAAGCAACCTATTTACACAAATATTTGTCAAATACCTATTTACAGTGTTAGCACTCACGGCAGTTATGTTAACATAGAAAATTCATTGCTGAACTAAATTACAATTGCTTAGTCAAGAGTCAGTCAAAGGCGTTCATCTACTGCGACGCCCCTTCGCCGTCTTTACAGGTGCTGTCGTTGTTGCTGCCGCTCCAGCTGCCGTTGAAGCATTCATGCGCATCTGTCTGAAGTGCCCACGTGCTTGCGCTTTTATGCTCTCCACTTCACGCTTAACATTGTCATTTTTATACTCGACTGGTGGAGCGGGTGGCTCATCTGGCGCGGAGTTATCAAACAGTTCGCTAACGTCAACCATGCGTGGTTTAAAAAACATATTCGGCCGTATAATAGATTTTCCATTTGCTTTGAACAGACGCAGAATTCCCCATGACGCTTCAGCCCTTTCACTGTCCGGTACTGAGGGTTGCTCCACTTCCGATTCGAGCACCCAAGCAGCATTACGCACCTCAATGCGCAGTCGCTCGCACTCTTCGTGACTAATATTTTTGCTGACATTCAACACCTGTAAAGTGGAGGAGAGTTAAAAGTTCAGCCATTAGTTTGAAAATAAGTTTGGATACATACCTGTTCTAGCGGGTTTACAATATAAAGCGCCGAGTGATCAGGCTTCGCAATGGCTCGTCCCTCATTCAATGATATCGCGCGATTATGAAAATCAAATTGCGAATAGAATTCGAAAAATTGCAGCAACAATTCACTCGCGTTGGTTGTGTTGCTACTACGAAAGGCAATGCGCTCCAAATCTCGTGCGAAGCTGCAATTTATGCCGTCTTCGGTGAGACGTATATCTTCTGGTGTGGCGGATTTCATTAGCGCGTTGATCGTTGGAAGTATCGGCTGTTTCATTTGTTGTAGGAAGAATATCACAAGGCAGGTGAGCGAAAAGTTGGTTATCCAGCGCCCGGGCGAGGGATTTGTTAGGCCACAAGCCTGTGCCCAACGCCGAATACAGAACGTCAGTGGGCGTACGCGTTCATCGAACTCGCCAAACATGTAGAGCAATTCTGACATGTAGAAGCCGGTGCTGTGGACAAGTAGAAGATATGAAATTATATTAAAATAATAATCAGTTTATGTCAGCGCAAATCAATTCTCGACTAATTCGTATTTTTTTTTTTTGATTCCAGAAGAAAGTCTGGAGGCATAGTAAGCGCCTTACGGGGACACACGGACTTAATTTTCTGCCGATGCAAGAGGTGTATATAACTACATATACTAGTGATGTAGGACTGTGTTAAAATTCCCATGTATTCTGAAAACTACTATGGGAACGTCTCGTTAAGGAAATGCAGAGCCGACTTTCATGAAAAGCAGTTGCAGCATATATTTTTGCTTCTGTAAGTTCGCGATCATCTCGAGGAACAGAAAAGGCAAGCATTTTTGGATTTTCCTTTAGCGAATTAATTCTAAATGGCTAGGAGTTTATAAATAGGGCCGAAGTTGTGCGAGTTTTATGACACCTCCATTTGTTTTTTTTTCAAGTGTTCCTTACGTATGAGATGTGATTTTCACAGAAACTTCTGAATAAGCGCCCGAGTCTAAAGATTGTTGTGCATATTTTCCGGTGTTTGTGAATTTGCCGAAGTTAGGTTAGGTTACAGTTAACAAGATGGAGGGCTGTTAAAGGAGGTCCTTATATTTTGTTACAACTCACGCTTTTGGTGGGGGTTCTGACAGGTCGCTTTCCAAACGGAATTACAGGATCGCGCTTTAAATATCATCCGATCCTTTTTGTAGCATTTTCTAGAGAATTATGAGGTGGAATCACTTCAACTCTTTTTACTAGACTGAACCGCTTTCCCAAGGCTAAGCTTAAATTAGGTACCGTTGTATTGACCGTACCACCTTACAATCCAAATAAAAACGCTGCGTAAAACATTTTTACATTTTTTGTTGACACATATATGTATACATTCGTTAATAAACATTTTTTTTATCCCTTTCAGGAGAAAGGCGAACTTGCTTCCCAAAAAGTTTTTCCGGTAAGACAACTGAGTGAATCAAATTTAAAGTTTTCGGTTTTTATATGTAGTTTTTCTTCAACTACTTTATTATACAATTTTAAAAATACTTTTTTTATCAAACTAAAAAAATTTACCACAAATTAGAAATAATTACTTTAAGATAACAAAAAATTATAGAAATTATAGATAGAAAAAAATTACAGTTTTTTAGAAAAATCTCATTTTTAGAAAAAACTTTAAGATATATACATTTGAAAGATAAATTTAAAAATATTCTGTTTTTGTAGGGGAAAAATTTTGAGGAAATCGAATTGTAAAAAAATAAGGAATCTTTTCTTAAAAAAAATCTTTTTTTTTTACTGACTTCAAAATAGGAGCTCGTTTTCATTTCGTCATTTACATTTCTAATTGCAGACTTACCCCTTCGAAAGGGTTAAATAGTTATACTGGAATAATCGAAATACTTTCTTAGCAAAAGTTTACTACTTTTTGGTGAGCTTTAATTTACTGACCCACCCGAATAGTGGTACGCAAGGTAAATTAACTAATTACAACAATTGTGAATCTAAATCTACATGGCGTTGCACAGGAGAGCTTATAAACCTAAAAGCATTACTTCATTAATGCGAAAAATAAATAATAAAGAAGTCCAGTTTTTGATGGTTGCGGTTCCTTAATAGCGATCAAAGATTCTTCTTCCGTCAGAAAGTTTTTGTTATTGTAACAGCATAAATGTTCCCCACACCAATGGGAAATACAACTGGAGCGAAAGTCCTTGGCCAGATATACATGGATCTGGACCGTTCCGGTTACGTAGGTCCGGCTGTCGTTGGAACGGACATATAGGAGGTCATTTCAGAGCAAAATTGTTCTAAAAGCCTGGAAAACCACTCGCACCTCTTCAAAAATAGTGCCGACGTGGAAGTTGAGACCGAACTTCGTTACAAAATGGAATGAACTTGAAGTAATGTGGGTGCCGGAACACTCTAGTATTTAAAGTAACGGACTGGCTCATGAATTGATGAACTGCGTATCTTTGGAGCATCCAATAACATCGGAGTCCATCTTAGAGCCATTTATTAAATTGACCATCTGCCGTATTTTTGGTTCAAAGTTTTGGCTTCAACATAGGTCGATTTGGAATTTTATCTCAGCATAGAACCCGTTCGGTTTATTCTTAGTACCTGTTGAGTACACATTGTGAATGTGGCCTTAATTTCAATGCTATCTCACTCAGATAAATGTGTGGAACGCAGCTTCCTACTGCCTTTTTTAATGCTAAATGCCTTTGCCGCCTGCTTTAGTAGTCAACCTGTGTGCAGTTGACTAAAAATATTCATCATCTAGAATTACAGCGAACGTCACAATGAATCACGCGACATACCATAGCGGATAAAAATTGATTACAAAGCCACGTACAATGAAAAAAATTCAGCGCGTTAAAGGGAAACCTTCAAAGCATTTCAAAACAAACCCAGGCATTATTGTTATACTTTTAATTTGTCTCTGCCTCGATTTTTCTTGTTGTTGCTGCCAAGCGCGCAGATAACTGATTCACCTGTGCGATTGTAAGCAATAAGCCCTAACAATGAAGAGTACACAAAAAATTGCGATAACCAAGTATCGCGATGAGGCAAGAACGAGTTCATCAAACAAGCGAACAAGTGTCGAACAAGCTTTGTGTTAGAAAGCGCTGCGATTTTTGGAATACACCTGTGCACCTGTTTCCACCAACGTTCGCCAGCGCTAATAGCAGTTTACGTTGGCCTAGTGTTATACTACATATCTTATCAGCTCTTGGAACGCTGGCGGTGGCTTATCTTATCAGCGTCACTTTGTTGTAGCTTTGGTAAGCGTGTACGCAATTCTTTTCGAATTTCGATGTTTTAAGTTATTTTCGTTTGCAAAAGAGTGTTGGATCATTGTGGGTTTGAGGTATGAGTTCACAAAACGGCTGCCAGTGAATTTCTTCAGCGAAATTTGAACGAACGACAACGACATTCGAACGGTGAAGTGAGACTCGGAAGTGAAGAGGTTGCATTTAGGAGATTTTCTTTAAAGAAAATAATTAAAAAATAATTAAAATAAAAAAGGGGAAATCAATACGGAAAATTTTTCGAAAAACAAATATCGTTTTCGTGCCTCAAACCATAAACTTTTGGAATTTAATATCTAAAAGGTGAACTTTTTTCTTACTTATTGCCTTTGAAAAGCGTTCTTTTCGCAAAGAAATAGCTAGCCACCAACCTCAATATACATATTTCCATGTTTGATATTGAATTAAAACTTAAACAAAAATATTTTTAAGAATACTGTCTTCTTATTTCCGGGCATTCAGTTATCATACAGTTTTTTTTTTATCTAAATTGAGACTGCAAATATTGCAACAACATATGTGAAGATAAAACGTACAAAAAACGAGGGCGTTGGCGCATAGCTTTCTAAAGGGAAACTGACAGTGTGTGAAAATGTGAAAGAACCAAAATAATCTACAAAAAAGTTTAATTAATTAATGATAAAATTAGATAAACAAAAATAAAACAAATAAAAAATAAATAGAATTACATTAAAGAAAAAATGAAAAACAAATGCACTAAAATAAAATAAAAAGTTAAAATAAATTTAAAAAAGTAAATTCAATTAAATCAAGTTAACTAAAATAAACTGAAAAATTTCGAGAAAATAAATCAAAATAAAATCAAAAATTTATGAACATGTGTATGTTAAACAAATCAAAATAAAATAAAATTTAATAAAAAAATTAAGTATAAAACATTTATTAACATTTAAAATTAAATCTCAAAAATATACAAAATAATTAAATTCAAATAAAATAAAATTAAAAAAAAATCAACTAAAAACAAATAAAACAAAATAAAAATATAGAACGAAATAAGAAAACTCCAGAAAAATTAATTAAAGTAATATTCAATTTCTATAACGATATTCAATTAAGTAAACAGATATAAAAATTAAATAAAACAACGTGAAAAATATATTCAACTTAAAAAGAATCAAAATAAAATGAAAATTAATTAAAGTAGGTAAAAATATAAAAGTAAGTAAATTATAAATTAAAAGAGTTCAATAAAATTAAATGAAACAAAACATTATATACATATGTACAGGATAAGATAAAATATAATTAAATAAAAAATATATGAATAAAAAAAAAAGAATTAAATAGAATCAAACTACACGAAAATATTTAAACTTAATAAAAAATAAAAGTAGATTAAACACAAAATAACGTGAAAAAATATAACCAAATAAACTGAAAAGGGCGGACAACAAATATTATGTTACAGGTGTTTAATTAAATAAAAGAAAAATAAAATCAAAGTAAACACTCAGTAAAGTTAGATTAATAAAAAATTAAATGCAGCATGAAAAAAGAAAAGTAAATACATATTAAATATAATTTAACAAAATTACTTAAATAATTTTTTAGTTTTATTTAATATTTACTTTTACTTTATTTTATTTTTTATGTCTCATTTAATTTTTTGTTAATTTAATTTCACTTATTTAAATAAAAACCAAAATTAAGTAATTTAAAATAAAATGAAATAAAGCGAATTAAAATGAAATTAAAAAATTTTATGGAAATAAAAAACTCAAGAAAATAAGTTAAATTAAAACAAAATGTTAAAAAGATATGTAAATTAATTACATATGTAAAAATAAATAAAATATTAATTTGTACAAGCAAAGAATAAAAATTGATAAAATTCAACCCAAAAACAACACTAAGAAGTACACGAGTTTTGAATATGTAATTTCAAATCTTTGATGACCTCACTCACACGCGCATTAAATTACACCTGTTGTCGCAACACTAGCAACAAAATTAATCATCAATGGCGCTGAGCTGATAACAATATTTGCTAAATACACAAAGATAATGTCATAAAAAATACTGTTAAGAAGTGGTTAGTTAGGGCGATTGTAAAGTGAAGTTTTGGTTTTGGAAAACTCAATGGACTAACTTTGAAATTTGTGAAGATATTTTTTTATTAAAAAGTAAGGGAGCAAAAACAGAAATATTGAAATTAAGAGTGTTAATTGCGTAAATAGTATGTGAATACAAAATGACTTTTCCTTATAAGTTAAAAAAAAAACCTATTTGAACACTCCAAATTTAATGCATCAGTTTCGAATTTTTTTGTTTCTCGCATCGGAAATCCGCTAAAAACAATTAGATGTTGGGTGTATAATTACTTATTGGACACTGACGTGATAGCTGTATCGTTTCGGTTCATAATTTGTAGAAATTATTTTGTTTTAAATAAAAGTCTTATACACTGAAATAAAATTTAAATTAAAATTTTATAAAACTTTAACCAAGTTACAAAATTATTAAATCTAAAAAAAAAAAAAATAACCACAAACAGCTAACTCCAGCCAACTATAGTCATTATAGTCGCCATTTATAGTCGTATTAGTCACAATTTTTGTTGGCATTTTATCTATGCGCATTGATAAAGTAATTGATTAAGCTCCTATAAACAGGAAAATGGCATATTAATGTACATACATATGTACTTATGTAAGTAGTTGATTGTGTCATTACATAAAAATGCTAAACCACAAGAAATACTTCAGTAAGAGTCTAGCGTCCCTACTTAATATTTATTACGCCTTTTTAAATCCTACACTAATATTTAACTATCTTTTACTTTCACTAATTTCAGTTTTCGCCACTGGCTTTGAGTACAACAACCAAACGATCATTACAATCAAATTAACAACAACGAAGCCAACAAAATGGGTTTTGGCCGCCAGGAGAATACGCTGGAGAAGCAAATCGGTTGCGTGAAATATACACTATTCTGTTTTAACATTGTCGCATGGATGTTCGCCACCGCCTTGTTTGCGTTAAGCGTTTGGCTACGCGCCGAACAGGGTTTCAACAATTGGCTGACCATACTACAGGCACAAATGTTTTACATTGGCGTCTATATACTAATAGGCTCCAGCATTATAATGATGGCTGTCTCATTTTTGGGTTGTCTTAGCGCGCTAATGGAGAATGAACTAGCGTTGCTAGTCTTTATGGGCACACAGATTTTCGGTTTTCTCGCTGGTGTTGCGGGTTCGGCTGTGCTGCTTGACTTCAGTACAATGCATTCCAGCTTACAACCGCTGCTGAGGAATTCGTTGACTCAGTATGTTAGCACTTCAGAGTATGCGCAATCGCGTTATATACTCAATATGATACAAAGTAATATTGGTTGTTGCGGCGCCACTGGCCCATGGGATTACTGGAATTTGCATCAACCACTACCAAATTCATGCCGCGATACAGTGAGTGGTAATTGCTTCTTCAATGGTTGTGTTGACGAATTGACCTGGTTCTTTGAGGGTAAGACCTCATGGATTGTGGCCGTGGCATTGGCTTTGTCTTTGTTAAATGTGATTAGCGCTGTGCTGAGTTTAGTGTTGGTGCAAGCTGTTAAGAAGGAGGAAGACGAAGCACGTACCTACAGACATTGAGATGTTAGCCAGGAGTAGAAGAATGGATGAAGTAAGGGGAAGCAATGGGAGTTGGTGTTTGAGTCGTATAAGAATATGGACGCTGATCTTTAATGAGGAAGCAAGCGTTTGCTTGCATTGAATGACCCCATAAAGTTCCGTTGGAAACCGACAATTTTGAAAATTTTACTTTTTTACTACCACAAAACCGCCGAATGAACTTTTTACATGCATACACATTTTCATACATATTTAATTTTTACAGTTATCCATTAGTGTTTTAAGATTGTTTAACAAACAAGACATTTACAAATAATTCTAAGCGCTCAAATAGTTTTAATGAAGTCATAAATAATAAATGTTTGTATTTTCTTCTATAATTGGAAGAAAATAGCAAAAAAGTATTGAGAGAATCGTTATTAGTTTTTTTTTCTTTTGTACAAGTAATATATTAAACTGATCGTATGTATCTAAAATAGCGTTCAAAACCATGACATACTGCAGAGATTAAAGCTGAGCAGTGATTATGAAAATTAAAATTAGTTTTGTTTATTCGAAATAAAGTAGAATTGTTGTGGTTTTAACAGCAAACAAATTCCGAGAATGAATGCTGCAGCTTTTGTGAATTGGCATGTGGATGATCATCAGGCCGATTCTGAACATCCCGGGAGTTTTCTCTCTTTTCCCTTAATTATTAAATGGCGCTCTCAAAAAGGTGTAAAATGCCTTTTTCGAAGTTCGAATTTCCTCCTCCCAAGTTTTCGAGGAAAATGCTACTCCTGGGAGTTAATTATTGGGGGATTTCTTTCTCTGGAGAAACAAATTCCCGGAGAACAAACTCCCCGGGAATATTAAGAATTGACCTGTATTTGAATGCTGGCGAAACTTTTCTAATAGCTTATTTGCCATAGTTTTCAGTCAAGAACTTCGATTACTTACACTTGGTAGAACTCATAGTGTACACTATAGTAGAACTAAGGGTCGATCCCTGGCCAGAGCAATTTTTAAAAAAAGTTTTCCCTTAATAGCGTTCGCCCCTCGGTAAGCTCTGGTAAACCTCCGAGTGTACTACTGCCATGAAAAAGCTTCTCATAAAAAACCCTATTGCCGTTCGGAGGCATCGTAAAACGGTAGGTCGCTCCATTTGCGTAACAACGTCAAGACACACACCACAAATTGGAGCAGTAGCTCTGCCAAATGAGTAGAAAAAAAACGCCAAATGTTTATTGCTTTAATGATATGCAAAGGGCTGGTCAAAACGTAAAATCGTGGTGAATTGAAGTTGTAAGAACATTAAACATCATTATTTAGGAAAAATGTTGCTGAAGTGCAATGGCTGAGTTGGCTAAAGGGGTCTGTCTCTCATCACCGCTTCTCCAGCGCATACAATTATGAGAAGAGTTTCGAAATCGGCTATCTATCAAGATGCACCTGCTCCATGGGTATAAAATATTTGAATAAACAGGCTATATGCGAGAGAAAATATGGCTGATGTGTTTTTAAGAAAAATCGCAGAATTACTACAAGCATACAGACATAACCACACGTACATACATGAAGTAAATAAAACAAAATTTATACTCACAGATTGCTCATGGAAAGATCTACTTCCAAATTTAAGTGCTCATGATGATATTTAATAATTGGCACACGCGCCTGCAGTATGCGTCGCACGTGACATACACCGGGCAAGAAGAGATGTAACATATCTCCAACACTTTCCATTTGTCGCTGTGTTTGCGTACGTCCATTAGTTAGATTTTCCTTTGTATGAAAAACTAAACGCGCGTCGTTATTTCGCCGCTGCATGGCAGCTGTACCAATAACTTCGCGATCAAAGCGCAATATTAAATCTAAATCACAGCCCATTCTGCCAAAGCCATTTACTGATGAACCAAAAGGTTGCGCATTTGCAAAGGGAAACATGCCGGACACAGCCTGTTGTACTTGCAGTGCTGCGAGGAAACGTAAACGCACGCCCAAATCGTTGAGTTGCGTGCGCTGGTGCAAAAGCAAAATTTGTTGATCTAAATTTTGCGATTCCGATAAAAGTTCGTTCAAAGCATTATTATCAAGCATTTCAGTGCCACCAATTACAACCAACGCGGCTGTTGTTGATTTGGCTGCTGCTTTTAGCTCACGCTTGCTGCTCGCCGCTCTGAACCAAAGAAAGGGTGAATGCGCTGTCACACCGGAAAGCTCATCATTGTACGCTGAGGCAGAAATTGCAGTGGAGGCCTCTTGCGTGCTGGCAAACTCCAGCAATATATAATGCTGATCGTCCTCATGTTGTATGCGGTAATGATGAGCGCTGAGTATTTGCCCAAAACTGGCGCAATAGTTATACAATTCGGGGAATGACTTTTCTGATTGCACTTGCACCACTATACTGCGGGTAGCTTGCTGCTGGCGTTGTTGCATTAGATCATTGTAGGGGAGCTTTTCTAAACGTTAACGGTTATAGTTATAAGATAGTGAGGAATATACAGATTTACTTACCTGGGCCTTCGGTTGCAATTGTTTTGGAGCTACATGTTCTGTTCAAATGTTTGCTCCAAAATATAAACTGCTTTGCGTTGTTTCTCATCAAGCTTTGCATTATAGCGCCTGCTAATGGTCTGCTTAATGCTTGCATCTGAAAATTTGTTTTCTTAAATTAACCAATGGCTTTTATTCATTAACTAAACCACAATTTACAAACCCAAAAAGGACAATTGTTTAGCGGCCGAAAGAGAAAGTTGAGGTTAGGTTGAATCTATCAGCTGTTGTTAGTGATAAATCTAACACTAGGGTCGCAAAGCAATATCAAGTAATCGGAGCGCGTGAAACCGCAAAATAGCATTAGGACCTTTTTGGCATAAGGAAAGATTGGGTGGGCAAGAATAAATAAAAGTTGGGCGTTATTCTATCGGTATCAAAATTTATAAAGGCGCAGTGAGAGGGATTGGTGGGTTAAAATTTTTCTAAAAGAAAAATATTAAACCGATTTTAAAAATGCTCTGATATCAATATTTTTATATAAAATATTCACCGTTACTCAGAGTAGTATTCGTTGTTTAGTTTGTTTACGGCATTCAAAATGTCTTACATTAAAGATCATTTTCGTTAATTTTCTTTAAAACCAAAAAAAAATCAGTGAACTTCAAAATATTACTCAAAATATCAAACTTTTTAACCAACCCTATTATTTAGTATTTTTTTAAAATTTGGCTAATTCTTTACCAAAAACCATATAAATCAATGTTGCAAACTTTCTATTAAATTCCCAAAAATTAGGCGAACTTCAAAAAATTTTCTTATAAATTTCATACTTTCTATCTAACAAACACCATATAAATCAATGTTGCAAACTTTCTGTTAAATTCCCAAAAATTCAGCGAATTTCAAAAAATATCCACCAAGATTTCAAACTTTTTAATCCAATTTTTTTTGTTTATGCTGTTCAGTTTCAATTACAGGTGTGAAGTGACTAGGACTTTTTTTTGAAATTTTTTGCACCAACGGTATCTCCCGTTTTCTTCCATATAAAATTATTATTTTTTTTATACATTGTATGAAAGTAAACGGACGATGCTTGCAGAGAAAATTCCAAATATCAACGATAAGGTCAAGTGTATTGAACAAGGTGTGACTGACAACTCAGGTCGGCTCTCCTTTAAGGCACTCCCAAAAAATATAAACAAACGATTCAAAATTCATATTTTTTTTTCAATTTGACATTATAGGATGGTGCAATAGTTGTGTTTTTTACAAATTATCCAGTAACTTGCCAGCAACTCTCCAGTAACTTAATTTGTAGGAATTCGCTCTCATAGAAAAAATGTACAAAAAAGTACGTGAACGCTTTTCCAGTAATAATTTGCAAGTTTCATGAACAGCTGATAAATTGGTTGTTTATTCGCAGCATATTCCTAATAAAACAATATATTTTATATTTAATTCAGCCTTATCATGAGTTTCATTTTCACCGAACCGGTTCACTTTTCACTTTTGGTTTCCATGGTTTTACTATGGGCGGATGACAAATTTTCGGGTGAATTTTTTTTCAGGCGAAACTCAGGATAAGGCAGAATATCTTTATTTTGTGAATTTCCACAATAAAAAGCCACAAACAGTTTCCTTATTAGTTTAAATTTAGTAGTAAAAACTTGCAACTTCAGCTGTAATTTTTCACTCTCTCAATTTCCCCTACTTTGCAAGTTTTTGCGTACGAAAACGCCTAAACATGAAAATTCGTAAATGAGAAAATGGAAATGAGTAGAAAAAACGCAACTAATGTCAAATTCAATCACACTTTGTTAAATACATTTTCGGAAAGGTTAATAAGGGCCATTTTCACCATCTCTGGTTAACACTATGGCTAGTTAAACATCATTACCGACGGTACTGATTCCGTTCATTTAACATTGGGTGGTAACGTCGGTAACAACAATCGGCAAATTGTGTGTGTGTCTCAGGTGTTTCTGGTGTTAATGGCGCTAACGCGTTTTTATATTTGCGTTGGCGTGGTGTTGGGGTGGTAGCGTAATTGCGCCGCGCAGCGCAGTGTTACCAATGCCTAAGCACAACAAATTTGACAGCTACCAATCAGATTTGCCTGCGTAAACGGGGTGATTATAAAACGAGCTGTGATTAAGGTTATATTTATATTATGTGAACATACCTTTAGGGCCGGTTTCTCCATCTCTGGTTAACACTAACTCCCCGGTTAAACATTGTTATCGACGTTCTAACTCCATGCATATAACAGGGAGTCGATAAGGTCGGTAACGATGTTTACCGGGGGATTAGTGTTAACCGGAGATAGAGAAACCGGCCCTTAGTCCTACTTGACACGGTCAACGGGAAAACGGTCAAGAAAAATTTTCCATTATTTCGTGTGTGTGTCCAAGAATTTTGACATCTGATCACAAAAAAAACTTTAGAAAACCGTAGCAGAAAACGCAGCAAATTCCTTAAGAACTCCGCACTGCCTTAAGGAAATTTGACACAAGAAAATTTATTTGCCATTTCTTGTACGTCATTGTATATGGACTTTTGATTTTCTGGCCATCTTCCTTTAACTTTTTATATGGTCACCTTAACGAAATTCAATTTAACATTTCTGGCTCAACAGCACGTGTGCAATTTTTGACAGTTCTGCGACAACAACAATTCTAAAAATTGGTTTCTATTCAGTTTATTTCCTATTCTCTAGTAAAAGTTAAAATTCCATCACCAAAATGGCTAAAGATAAACCTCAGAAGCCTCGTAGATTGAATAAAAATGAAGGTACAGAGGAAAAGTCCAATGACAATTCGGCGTCCAGCAGTTCTGCTATTTGGCAAGATGAACGTTTCCAGCACCTGGTCAGTGATCCACGCTTTCGGGGCATACCAAAGGTGCAGCGAAAAGTCAAGATCGACAAACGCTTCCAGAGTATGTTCACAGATGAAAAATTCAAAGTGAAATACACTGTAGACAAGTATGGGCGGCGTGTAAACAAAAGCAATGCTGAAGATTTACGCAAGTACTATGAGCTTAATTCATCCGATTCAGAAGCAGAAGAAGATGTGAAGGAACGAACTGAACCAGCAAAACATGAAGATTCTGATGGGGAAGCACAAGAAGAGTTGGAACGGCGCAAGGAGGAGAAAGCGATTAGTCGTGATGCTGATCATTCCGGAGTGAGTATGCCGAACGAAGAGGAACAAGATGAAAATGATAAGCTTGCTAGTGATGGCGAAGACGTGCCAAAAACACTGAAGGAACGTTTATTAGATCCTGACATCGATTACGCGCGAGGTGAGGGTCGCCTTATTACCGATTCGTCGTCAGATGATGAGTCTAGTGAAGAAGAAGATCCCGAGGCGAATATTGATCATATATGGGGAGAGCTAGATCAGGAAGCAGAAACAACAGAAGAATCTACAAACAGGCTGGCTGTTTGTAATATGGATTGGGATCGTATACGTGCAGTCGATTTAATGGTGCTATTTAGTTCCTTTCTACCACCAGGGGGTAGTGTTTTGAGCGTGACAATATATCCATCTGAATTTGGCAAAGAGCGCATGCAGCAGGAGGAAATACACGGGCCAGCAGAGTTGGTCGGCTTGGGAAATGATATAAACAACGAGAAGGTATAATAAACAAATACACATCGTCGTTTAAAGTACAAAACCGCGTATCAACAAAATGCAAAACCGCGTACGTGAGGTTACATAAATTATTTTCTAGAGACACTAAACTAAAAACACTCGTATTTCAAAATGGTTTTTTTAAGCAATTGCATTTCGGAACAAGTGCTGAATACCTACATATCTCTATTTTGAACTTCAATAACACCAGTAATTATTTCCCACAAGAAAATTGATCCTAATATAAATTTTTTTAATAAGAGAAATGTACGTATTCTGCACTTAGTGCAGTTGTACCCAGTTTCTACCTACTTTGAACTTCAATAACACCAGTAATTATTATTTCCCGCACAAAAAAAATATACTGTTATGATCAGGACTAAGAGCCCTATCGATCCTAATATAATGTTTTTTTTTTTTTTTAATTTGGGAATTTTAGGTATTCTACATTTAAGCCTTGGCAGCAAATGTCAGTTACGCGGTTTTGCAGAATGACGATACGCGGTTTTGTACTTTAAACGACGATATGTTTATGTTTTTCTAGTAAAAATTATCTAATTTTCCGACCATGTTTTTCTTTAGAATACGAATTTCGACAACGAATCGGACGAGGAAATCGTCAAAGAGCAAGACAGCGACGCTGAAGAAGGCGATGATTATCACATGGAAAAGCTTCGCCAGTATCAATTGAATCGCCTACGATACTATTACGCCGTGGCAGTTTTTGATAGTGTCGCAACGGCGGATAAAATTTATAAAGAATGCGACGGCATTGAGTATGAAAGTTCAGCAACACGCGTCGATCTGCGCTTTATACCCAATGGTACTAGTTTCGACGAAGATGAACCCACTGACGTGTGCACAGATTTGCCCGATACGAATAGCTATAAGCCGCGACAGTTTACAACAACAGCCTTGCAGCAAGCTAAGGTCGATTTAACATGGGATGAAACGGCTTTGGAAAGGCAAGAGTTAGGCGAAAAATTGGCCAGCGGAAAATTAAATGAAGTGAGTGACAAGGAGCTCCGAAAGATGATCGCGTACAGCAGCGAGGATGAAGAAGAGGATAGCGGAGAGACAGAAGAAAGCGGGCAAGCAAATGGGAAGGAGCATGCCAGTGAGAGCAATGACAATGCCAATCAAGCGCAAAAAACAGAGAGGCCGAAACGTAAAAAGGACGACATTATCAACAAATACAAGGCACTACTTGCAGAAATCAACGAAAAAGAGGAGCAAAAAAAGAAAAACAAATTTGAAATGGAAATAAGCTGGAATGTAGATGAAAAGAAAGACGACAAAGACAAGGAAGCAGAAGATTCTGAAGACAGCAAGAAAAAACCACAGCTGACACCCATCGAAAAAGTTTTGCAAAAGCGTAGTGAGCGCAACAAGCAGCGCAAGGAGGAGCGCAAGAAGAATAAAATGCAAGCACGTGGATTGGATCCAGATGCAGATGACTCTGCTGATTCGGACAGCATACCCGATGGCATTGATATGAATGATCCCTACTTTGCGGAAGAATTCGCTACTGGCGACTACATTGATCCCAAAGCAAAAAAATGCGATAGGTTGAAAAAGCAACAAAATGAATCGGATAAGCAGCAGGCTGCTGAGGAGGAGGAAAGGCAAGCGAAAGAGCTGCAGCTTTTACTG